GGTATAATTAAATTTCAAATTTTACAATATGTTTACCCCTTAGGAGGGTTCCATCACATAAAAATCAGCTAAATTAAATTGTTATTTTAGAGTTGGCTGATAATGAGGCTGAGTGGTTAAGTAACTTCTTAGAAAGTATTCAGATTGACGTGTCTATATATTTTGCCACTATAGTGAAAAAAGTAATTTTTTTTTATGACAAAAAAAGACACATTCAATAAAACATCAAGTGATGGAAAAAACTGTTAAGAGATGGAATTATATTCATAAATTATAAGAGTTCAGAAGTGAAATTGGCCAATTCTCTGACTAAATTTAAATTTATAAATGAAGCTTCATGGGAACGGGAGTTTTGTCAAGTTGTATATCGATCATGATGCTAACCCAACATATGTGATTGGAAATTTCATGAATTAATTCATATGTGTAACAAAAAGTCATAATTTGATCTTGTGCACTATATATATAATTTGTCCCATTTGTGATCTGTTATGGTGTGTGTATAGTGCAAATCTTCAAGGAAAGTGAGACTAAGTTGTAAACTTTTAATCCATTACTATATTGCAGAATACACTTGAAGAGTGGACCTATATGACTGTGAAGTGGCTCCGCTTCTATGAAATTGTGACAGATTTCTAGAGCACTCATGAATTTCAGGACACGTGCATTGCCTCTTAGCGCAAAACCGCGATAACAACAAATATTTTGCAAGTGTATTGTGATAGAAAAATCTCTAAGCTTACAAAAGAATTATTGATTCATAAAAGTTCTAAACTTCATCGATTCGTCTGTAACTTTAATCTTGTTTTATCTAGGTCTAGTTCATAATTTATGAGATACCAGATTCTACGCATTATTCTTATTTATGAAAACCTTGTTGTCAATGTTAGTGATAAATTAAGTAGTTAGTTCACAGTCTATTAGTTAGTTAGTCAACTAATTACTTAAAGGTAATTAATAAAGGTTGTTAGTTACAGAATTAACTGTTAATTAATTCCTATAAATATCTCCTATTTATGTACAATGCACACACACACTATTGAATACAATACGCTATGTCTTCTTCTACTCTCTTACACTGTCTCTTTTTCTTCGTCTTCTGAAGTTGTCTTCTTCAATTAGCCATATTCTCAAGATCTTAAAGCTTCAATTATGACATGGTATCGGAACCCTTCTGGCTGGTAAATCCTAGCTTGAATTTGTAGTTGCTTCTGTCTCTTCCGCAAGCATATCAAATTGAAGATCTACACCAAGTTCTTAAAGGTCAAGTATGGCTGTCAATGGTGAACCAACAGACTCTCGTCCTCAAAGCTCTGGAAACACAAATCAGCCAACATTTGGAATTGACTCGATTATTTATGCATGCCTCAGATGTAAGTTAAATTCAAATCATAT